AGGTTTAATTGTTTGGGCAAAATTAAGTATCAAGCCCACTTTTTCTAACAGATGCAGATTATATATGGCTGATTACGCAGTTACAATGAAATACAGTCACCTTTAAACTGTTGTGAAAAAGTTTATATATATATATATATATATACGAGAAGTGTGTATGTGTGTGTGTGTGTGTGTGTGTATATATATAAAAAGACAGCAAAATTTTTCTTATATATATATATATAAGAAAAATTTTGCTGTCTTTTTTTTCTTTTTCTGTTCTCGTCAATTAAATAGAGGCAAAGCACCAGGTATCTAAATGTATATAAAAAGAATAAAATCACAAAACTAAAAGAGTAATAGAGGAAAGGGCCTCCTTTAAATCAGTGTAAGTTACAGTGGGGATTTAGGGAAGGAAAGAAAGAGAAGATAAAAATGTCACTAGGAAAATTTTGTACTTCTCTCACCTCAAAATGGGTTTACTGCAGCCTGCAGATTAAAGACAAACCGATGTATATTTTTTTCCATCAAGATCTCTGAGCATTCCCATTTTCAGAATACCTTGCAAGGGCTCAATTTCACATTACCTGTCATCCTTATTGATCTGGTCTCCAAATCCCACTGTATCAACAATCGTCAGCTTCAGGCGGACATTGCTCTCCTGAAGTTCGTAACTCCTTGCTTTCAACCGTACGCCAGGCTCCTTATGAGTTGCGGGGTCACTTTCAAACTTCGTATTGAACAAAGTGTCCATGAGGGTTGATTTGCCAATGCCAGTTTCCCCTAAGAAAAAGACATCTGAATTAGGAGGTCTGAGAAATCCATTGCTCCCAACTCCCCAACTTTCTGCTTCATTTGAAGAACCGGACATTCTGAGAATATGCAAGAATACTGAAATCATAGAGATGAGACAAACGCTGCATAGGGCTGAAAGTTTATAGTCCGCTAAATTAATTTAACACACTTTATTAAATTGATTCATTCTCAGCACAAACCTAGTTTACATTCTGACTTCCATCCTTAGCCACAGACATTCTCCTTGGGCCAGTCACTCCCTCTCAGCCCCATGCACCCAGCAGGACTGTTGTGGTGGAAATAAAATAAAGGGAGATCTCTGTGTATGCCATTTTGAGCTTCTGGAGAAAGGTGGGATATAACTCTAATAAACAATACTATCCTGTGTTAAAAGCACTTCACAGGCATTATCTACTTGAAACCCTTGTACCAAAATTGCTGGGGAACCTGAGGCTAAGAGTGAGTGGTGTGTCTAAGGCAGCTTAGTGAGTCCATAGCAAAAAATAAATTTCTACCTGGGAATTTCCCAGTTTGCAGCTAATCACTTTGCTCTATTAGCGTAGATTAGAATGACTAGAACAAACCAGTTCATGTCTATCACTACCTTCGTCTTATTTAACCCTGACACATCTTCCTTCTTCTTTTCAAAGGTTCCCAGACAGTCACCGATTTGAAATGAAACACAAGAAGCCTTATTCTGGGAAAAAAACATTATATGTGGGCTGTATTTTGTCATATTATCCTGAACAGAAGATTCCATACAAGCCACGTCACTGCCACTGTGTCATCATGCCAAAGATGCAAATTACAAAACGTGTATCCTTTGTGTGGTGATATCATGTGATGTCATGAAATATGTGTGAAATCACCTCCCACTCCACCTGCAGATGTCCCTAAATCTGAAGTTTACTGTAAAAGATAAATGGGAAGGAAAGTGCAGCCTGAAGAGAAACACAGCATTTTTATGTTTGTGAAGTGCCTAATTATCTTCCCTCAAAGCTCTAGATTTGAACCGGCTGTTTTGCTTCAGAGCCTTCAAAATGTACCCTCCAACGAGAGGCACTAGTACAGGTAATTCCCGGGTTAAGAACGCCAGTTTAAGGATGATCCATAGTTAAGAACAGAGCCTATTGTAGCAAAATTCAAGTTAAATACATGATGATTCGAGTTAAAGACACAATGGTTTGAGCTAATTACACAATACTACTTATACAGTATTATACAAATTTGACTTAAGGACAGACCTTGAGAACGGAACTCGTTCTTAAACTGGAGACTACCTGTACGTGAATATTCTTGGCACTGCATAGCACTCTCATTCTACTAACAAGTTAAATTACAGACAGAAGTTACAGCCAAATACCATTGCTAAAAATTAGTTCTTTACTAGCATGAGAACATAACACACACAGACAGAAACTACTATTTTGGGAAATCTGGTAGGAACAGACATTTAATCTAAATTAACCGTGTTTCTTGTTGCAAAGCACATGGTTAGAAAGTAAACACTTTCTTGTTGGATGATTTCCAATGTAAACACATTTAACCCAAATTGAAAGTCAGCGTAGAGTATGTGATAAATAGTTTTAGACTTGGGATGTCAGAATAGAATAAAGAACTGGAGTTCTGTACTTCGATTCAGAACATTTTTCCAGATTGTATAACTGCCCTGGAAGATGAGGATTAATGTTCCCAAATTCCTCACACTATGATGCCAATCCAGATGGGTCTTTCTATGTTTACCGTTCAGTAAAAGAGAGAGAGAGAGAGAAAGCAACAATTTGCATGTATCTTGGCAGCAAGAATTGCTTTGAACAAAATTTGTTGCTTATTCATGAAGTGTCACCTATATTTATTGCACAATGAGACTGTAAATAAAATAGTCAAACCAGGAGGAACAGCACAGCTTCTAGTTTTCCATCTTTGTCTCTAATGAAAAAAAAGAGACTTATTTACTCCTTCAACCATTTTCCAGTTACCACTTTAATTTTATTCTCTTCCCACACTTTCCCTTCCAAGCCTATGTTTAGCTACCAAGAAAAAATAGTTTAAAATGTCAGATTTTTTTTTAAAAAAAATGTGACGAGTACAGAGCTACAGAACAGGTAGGATGCAATTTGCATTTTGCTCCGACATTACATAATATATCTTGACTTTGCATAAGGAGATTCACATTTTTGAAGAAGGAGATCAGCCGCTATTTCCCATTGTAGGCATCAAAGCAAACCAACCCCCCCCCCAAAACCAGTTGATGAGCAGTGGGGAGGCACTCTTAATCACCTTAACCTGTCATTTATGGGGGAGACATTTTAAAAAAGCATTTTTAAAACAGCAGAATTGAGATTATGGATACATCTCTCAGATTTACTTTTATACTGTTTTGGTTTTGGTCTGCAATAGGGAAAAAGAAGCTGTAAACTGCTTTCTCTTATAGGACTAGCTGCCCCGTGTTTTATTCAATAAGGAATTTGTATTTAGAGTTTAGCAGACTCTACAAAGCCTTGCTGTTCCCTCTGACTCAAAATCTGGCTTCCCATGACAGCTAATAAAATGCCTTCAGAAAACCCACAAGCAGCACAAGAGAACAGTACTTTATATTTTAATGCAGTAAAATTCTATTCATGTTTGCTAACAATGTAGTTCTCAGTATGCTCCCCACCATATTCAACAAGGTTTATGTTGCAATAGAGATGGGAGAATCTGCTAAATTTGCATCTACTCATTTCATTTCTTTTAAGCTGAAGACCGCTGCCATCCTATATCCATCCGTTGGCAATTTTTTAAGAAGCCCACATGAAAAATTTCTGCAATATGCACATTTCCCTGATTTATACACCTTCTGAATTTCAAACTTTGGAAAAGTACAAATAATGGCACATAGAAATGTGTTTTATTTTACCTATAGATCTGGGAAGGTAAACTGGGCACATTAAAATATGAATCATATTAATTTTTCACCTAATCATGTTTACAACTTAAACGATCGATCTAGTTCATTTGGGGAGGGGATGTTTAAGTACACAGGTCCTTCTGAACTGCAGCCTGAATGAACTGCCATACTATGGATTTCTACCCCTAATTCCTCACAGAGCAGTTTGAAACCGGCTGCCGTATCTTCATTCCTGCCAACCCCAAAATACAGAGAACACAATCACTCAATCAATGCACACTCCTGCCCCCAGTTGATAAATACGAAAGTGCAAAGAATATTATCTAGTTTCCCATTCCCTAACTTCCCATGGTTAATGAATCAATTTACGTGCCCACCCAACTGCCTGTGACTGAGGGTGGCATGCAAGATAAAAACTAAATTATAAATAATTCAAAGCCATTAAAAATGAAACATATTGTACGTGAGGCAACTTCATACAACCCCAAACAACCAAAATAATCAAGATAGGGATAAAATCTCCCAAATTAATCCCTGAGTTGAACCCTGAGGAATCCCACAGAATAGAGACTGAAAGCTGGACCTCTTCCTTTAATCAACACAGACTAAAGCTGAAGCTGAAGAAAAGGAGGACAACCATGTATTATATGCCTCCCATCCCCAATCCCCTGAGCAATGACCACCAAGAGATCAAGGAGGGTGAGGATGGGCACGCCACACATCCCAGTCCCTCCATAGGTCATCAGCAAGCACAATCAGTGCCCTTTCTGTACTGACCCCAGGCCTAAAACCTGAGTGAAAAGTTCTGGATAATCTATTTCCTCCACAGTCTTCTGAAGCTGCAGGATCACCACCTTCTCAACAACTTTCCCCAGAAAGGGTCCAACTATGGCTTCTTGAGGAAGTGGTAGACAGCTGCCTCCTTAAGCAATAAAAAAAAAAAAAATCTCAACCCCTCTGACCAAACAAGAAAAAAGATGTATTGCTGGTACTAGGACATCCTAGAAAAAAACATGTTTTTCAGGACACAGCTTCGTGTGCATACATCTTGCAATTTGCATAACGCTTTGAGAGGTTGGTATGGTGAGAAACTACACAAGGGAAAGTTAATTATAAAACTATAGGCAAAAGGATTAAGAGCTTCCAGAGACTTTCCAGCTGCCAGGCCGCTGTTCTACTGCTGCATTTTAAAGTCCCTGTGAATTGTGACAGTGAAAATTGGAAACTAGGTGCTTTCCTCAATGCTTATGGCCATAGTTGTCTGTTGCTACAGCCGCTGGACTGAAGTTGAAGGTAAGAGACAAACCCCCTTAGTCCACTGATCTAAAACTCTGCAGCTGAGAGCTTTTAGGAAGGAGACACTAGCTCTTGAACTTTTGTTTGTCATGACACTGCATTGAACTATACTGCTCATCCCTTGCTAGTTGTGTTCCTAAAACTGCATTTGGCTGAGGAGCAGCAATGGCAGAGGAAAAAAGCAACCGATTTTTGTCAGCTTGACTTTAGAGATCATTACATCCAGAAGTTTCCTGGTGTGCCTTAAATATCACCAAGCCCAATTCTGTCATTTTTTTTTTCAAACATTCACTTGCAAAAAAAAAGGAGTTCAACAGTGAAATCTATCTCCGCAGGCTAAATTTTTCAAAGTGCAATCAGGTTTCAGTCAATGTTGTCTCTTTCTAAAGAAATAAATGAAGCTGCCTATTAAAGTTTCGCTGTAAAAACAAACCAGATATCACATAAAGGGGAAGAGATGGGAATAGCTCAGCTCTGCCAAATGAAGGGCAGAGATCAACTATTTCATTCTTGCACACAAAGAAATGCTTTTCCAGGAATGCAAGAGGCTAGTTATCAGTCACACCAAGGAGTTAGAAGACTTAACTACTTGGCCTTATAGCTTGCAGCAGTTTAACCACTAAGAAAAAAGAAGAAAATAAAATACTAATCTTTAAGGGAGGAAACAACTTTTTTGCATTTCAGAAACACTCAATCTCAGGAGATGTTTGATTTGGATTTTCCATAGTTTCCTTGTTTGGCCTACTGACTTTGATTACCATCCTTAAGTTAGTTTGCTTCAGGGTCTCAAAAGAAAAGCTGCATGAACAACCACTGGCAAATTATGGGTAAAATACAGGATACAATATCAAGTGCAGCAGTCATCTTACAAAACACAAAAGCAAATGTATGCTAATGAAGAAGGATTATATATAATCTCAGGAGCCTGAAAAAGATTTCCATGAGTTGGAATATGATTTCAACTAGCACAAACGTAATAAGGCTGCAATCTAACACCAATTTCCTGGAACTTAGCTGTTTCTGAATAGACATGCCTACGATGGTACAATTTTACATAATTTATACAATACATAGAATCAGCCTTTCCTTGCTCCAAAATTTAACTTTTTGTGTTAAAAAGAACACAAAGTAAACATTCCAACTCAAAGGTCCACATACCAACTAGGAATCTGAAACATATTCATATGATTAAGACACTCAAGTGTGGTCTGGTTTATATCCTACGTCACCAATTTTTCTTGTGCTGCAATCATAATGAGAATATTACAGCAAAGGAATATGGCAGAAGTTTGAACTCTAGTGGATTATTACATTTTTTAAATGTTTCCCAATTTAATAGTAACACAAATTCTCTGCATGTAGAAGACTAAACACATCAAGGAGAAGGTCAATCTAGGATTGTTCTCTTAGCGTACCAACTGTAGTGTGCCAACTAAAATTGCCTAGTTTGAAAAATACTGGACTAAGCAGAGATAAGGGCGGGGCATTCAATGGCAAAATTAACTGGGGGAAGGGGGAGACTGAAATTCGAGTTGAGTGTGTGAGGACACTGACCTACTCAGGCTTGTCAAAATTTTAATCAAGAAAAACAATGGTGCTCCAAATTTCAAAAGTCTTGGACTCAAGCAATGATTATACAGTCAGGAAAACTTCAGTTTCAAAAGTTTGAAATGTAGAAAGAGTGGATTACAGTGGGGCAAAAAAGTATTTAGTCAGCCACCAACTGTGCAAGTTCTCCCACTTAAAAAGATGAGAGAGGCCTGTAATTTTCATCATAGATATACCTCAACTATGAGAGACAAAAT